TACATAACATCCCCATGAAACACGTCAGGAGATATTTGCTCTCCATTGGCTTGAGCAGCAAGAGCCATTTGCGACACAATAGTTTCCAGTTTTGGAGACTATTATACGTTTAATAATGAGCTAAAATGTCAAGCCTCGTATGTTGTTCTATGCCGTGGACAAAGACGATACAATAGGTGTTATTTGGCCCTTTTGTCATGTATCTATCTAGAGTATCAGTGTAGGTTAGGAGAGGATCGCAGCACAGCCAAGGAAAAATGAGCTAAGTGGAACAGCTAAGATTATTGCCCAAGAGCACAGGGATTGCTCCTATGCAGATCATATAGACAATATGCAGCACCGTAACACTATCCCAACCACCACTTTTAGCAAACAGGTTTCTCCCTATTACCTTTTTAAATGTCGCTCCCATTGTTCGCTGGTTTTCTTACTAACATCTCACTTGAATAATGATACTTGCTTCCTCTGACTCTGGCGTGCACTTGGGTGTCAGCTTCTTGTCTCTGTGATTTTGGTCATCTCTTCTGTTTCATGACCTTTTTTGAGCTACAATGCACAGTGAGTCTAAAGTATCTTGAGTCTGTCATATTAATGAGTGAGCTGTCATCTATAATGCTAAGCAAATGTTGTGTTGTTGAGCTTGTTGAACTTTTTTTTCAGCCAGAACATGGCTGCAAGTAGCAAGTTGTTATTCAATGATATATATTTTTAATCTATATTGTGCAGGTTTGATAAATGAAGGCAACCCTGCTTTATTGCTATTCTATATCAACACTATCACTATCACCATCTTTGCCTTGGAGTTATACGTTTTAAATATATATATACGCTATACTGTGTGGGGTCAAGTCCAGCCTTGTCCCCTGCAAAGGCAGAGCCAATGATGGACACACACACAGCCTGCCCCAGAAAAGACCAGTGCAAAGTACGTCTTAGTTTGGTATGGAAATGTGCTGTTGAGCTGTGCATGTATATCAAAGCCTTATTCATCTCTATTGAACAATATGTGAACGACCTTGATTTACATTGGTTGCTAATTGTGTATTTTGTTTCTCACTTAAAAAGTAGCTGCATATGGGGATAAATGAATTTAAAAGGAAATAACTGAATAATGCTGAAAAACAACTATTTTCCTTCTTTTCCAGGACACATCCTGCATATGCAGTGACAGGAGACTTGAGAAAATGTGTCCCTTGAGTTGACTCAACAGGTAGAACAGGTATCGGCAGGCCTGGGGGAGCTGAAGGTTCTACAGATGAAACCCAGTCAACAGAAAGCAATGTTTCTCTTTGGATCTGGAGTATGAAATATGACTAGACTTTTAGAAATACATGGACATCATCTAGATGTGTTGAATTATTTTATCGCTATGGTGAGATCAGAAGCACAATGATCTGCTTGGCATGTGAAACATAAAGCTGTACATTGGGTTCAGCAAAAGTGCATCTACCACAACTGAATTTCCCCATTGTGAGATCAATAAGTATAAGGATATCTTATCTTACCTAAAGACCCTACAATTACTCAATTTGTTGAACAAAAAGACAACTTTTCTCATCTTTATATTTACCAAAGAGATCCAAATGGTCATAGACCGCTTAAGTGTAACCAGGGAGTGCATTTTAGAAAAAATCCGCTCAATGATTTTTATGAGTTGAGACCATGTGGAGCTGATCCAACCTGCTGCTAAAGGTTTCTCTGACATGGTCCTTGATCTTGTTAGGCTAACTGCTAATGATGCATTAGTCCCTATCACCACTAAACCATTTACTCACCATGGAGTGTCTGCATTACAAAAGCACAGTCACTGCAGACTTCATTATCTACAAGTCATACAAACTATTCATCTTCTGAATGAACAAATTCGGTTCTGATAAATGCTCTCACAACTGTGTTTGATAGATAAGATTGTTGACTGCTGTTGCCATATATTCCTTACATTTTTTCAACAGAATGATTTTTTGAAAACACATTTGAAAAATAGTGATAATTCTCTCTGGTTGGTCAGTGTGTGGTGGTGGTCAGAAAGGCAGAGCTTCCTGCAGACTGTTTGAGCACAGAGGCGTCAGAGTCTGGCCTCAGGAAGAGCTGAATTACTGATTACAAAGCCTCAGACCATGTTATTGCCTTTACCCACAATTCATTTAGTCTGTCTGGACTGTTTGCATATCTTTACCCTCACCTCATGGTGCTCTTATAGACAACCTTGCCGTTCTACTTTCTTTAAATCTCTTGATGCTGTTTTATGCCATGCAAAGCTGCATATGTGTTCAAGATAACAGCTGGGTTTCCCCTGGCTTTGTGGCTGATGGAGGATAATTGTGGCGGTAGTGTGTGAGAGAGTGCGTGTTTATGAGTTTGTCCGCACAGTTCCCTAAGTAGTTCCTGGCTGTTCTTGGAGCTGAAGTGGAACACAAACAGAATGCAGGATGTCAGTCTCTCCAACATGGAGCCAGATACTTATATATGTTTATTTGTATAGTACATCTAGTATATTCCACGAGCCAAATCAACACGTTTTTAGAGGGAAATAATAAATAATACATAAAATATTTAAAAAATATATCAATAGTTATTATCATAAATAGCATACAGTAACTCCCCAATCTTTACAATCTTTAGTCAAGTAATAAGCATAATCATGTTGCAATTAGTATGCTATACAAGTGCTTTTCTGGTTACATCTGCCAGAGAGTAATGTTTGTTAGTAGAAAGCGAGATAAATCAAAAAGTTACTTTTTTTAAGTATAGTTACTTTGATGACTGAATATAATATAACATAGCGTAAGCCAGGATGAGGTGCCTGGTCATACTGCCGTCACTGTAATCTTATGTAATTGTGTTTAGAAAACACTCAAGCTGGAAGATTACCTCCTTTTTAAGGAGGTGGAAACCTGAGCCTTGGGCCATTCTTTATCTGTTCATATTGTTGTAGCTTTTTAGGTACATGGCCTAAGTATGATATGTCTCGTAATTAAACAAGATAACCATCAGCTTTTTTCTACGAAACACTATATTTCTACTTTGAGGAAAAGTCTAAAAATTGACAGGTTATTGCTGTTGAGTGCGGGTGAATCTGCATGTTGAGTGTTAGGGTGAAAGTAGAGGAAGCAAATGTCCAGTTTTTCCTCAGGAAGCTGGCTCCATTTCCACTTGGCACAGAGACACGAGGCATTTATTTTTTTGCGTAAGCAGTGATGGTTAAAAATACCAGAGTATATAAAGTGGGCGACAAACTGCAGTGGAGCTCACAGCAGCTACTGGAGCTCACAGGCATGACCATAGCACGACCATTCACTCAAACAAAAATTATTTAGGATCCCCATTATTTTTCATTTCCTACATTTATTTATTTCAAGCTTAACAGGAAGCAATTATTGTAATTTTGGGGATTCTTTTTTCTCACCTGTCAATGCCTGAAATGGATTAGTAAAAGAATTACTCAAACGTATAAGCTCCCACCCCATACCTATTTCACCGTATATGGTTGGATTGATTTTATGTTATTTGCCCATAATGCGTCTGGACCATTGAGAGATTGGGGCGCTGAACTTGGTGCTCTTTGGCCACTGTGACACAGTGGTTCAACAAATGATGAGATAATCATATAAACAAAAATATTGGTGAATTGTGTATTATCATTTAGTGTTCTTTATTAAAAAACTACAGAGAGGCAACACTCACTACAGCCTCCCAAAGGCTTCACGTAATAAACGTGCAGCTCTACACAGAACAATGAACCTGTATAACATATCTTTAAGCGTAGACCACAAAGCAAAGAATTGATTTTGTTACTCGCTGACAGAGCTGATCTTCATCTATACCCCTTTCATTGGAACAAAGGGTGCAAACTAATGCCATTGGTGGCATATACTCCTTCAGGCTTATTTGTAAGAGTGTTAATTTTTTTTTTTTTTTTACAATTAAAAGCTGTATAACCCAATAAAGCCCTTACAAGCCGTTAGAATATACTGTATGAAACTCATACTTTTAGGCAGATGTGGGATAACCGAATATGGATGAATAGCCAATTGGACAAATCACTTCTATTGGTTAATCTGAAGATCATGGACAGTATCCTAAAGTTTGGGGTTGTTGTAAAGGAATCACGTTGAACTGCTGGCCCCGAGTGATGGTCCATCCACCTGCACATTACCATATGCGTGAGGGAAACGCGGCTCATACGCATACTTCTTTGTTGGGACCAAGATCATCAGGTTGTTTCGATGGCTCGGCTAATGACCCATCAATTCACGCTCTTGTTTGTGTTAATTACGTCAGGATCAAGTCGAGACTAGATTTGGACACCTCTTTGGAGAATGTGTCCACTCTAGAGAGGAGTAATGTATTGCCAATGTTGAGAAAAGAGCAATAATTAGATCAACAACAAAGCCAAACATATACAATAAGCCTAGATGTAAGGAGAATTTCAGACTGTAATAAAGTGTTTGGACGTGTGCGCTGCTTACATCTGAACTGAACATTCCTCCAGTCAAGTCTGCTTGTGTCGCCCCCTCTCGCCTCAAGGGAATCCTCCTTTAAGACATAATGCCACGTTTGGAATTATTCTCCCCAAAGTATACGCTATACTATATGGACTTACATATTTAACTATTTTGTTCCTTGCGTACTTACTATTTTTCCATTTTCTTTCTACATTTGAATGCATGCGTCATTTTGCAAAGTGTTTTTCTGTATTTTTGTTCAAACAATGTATACCTACTTACATCTGCCCTCACTGGGAGACAACCGCGTATCTGAAACGGAATTATTTTGGATTTAGTGGTCGGTGTCGCATGTGTGTTGATGACCGTGGGGGATGTATGTGGTAGTGCAGCCACACCTCCAGTGCTCCAGAGGGATATAAGAGGCAGGTCTCACATCCTGAGACCTCCACTCCGCTGTGACTACTACTTTTTCTATGGACTGAGTGGATGTTTTTACTGTTGTGGAATCGGGAAACGTAACCTTTTGACTTAATTTTTCCACTTGATTCGAGTATGGCTGCGGCTGATGAACTGACGCCTGCCGCTTTTGCTGGAGTTCCAACTATGGATGTTGCGCGACTTAACAACGTAAGTGGTCTGTTATTGTGGATAGCTGTTGTTTGTAATCACACTACTGTTTATGTGGCCTTTATCTTACACAAATTAAATCAATTGGACCTGTTTTAATGAGTATTGTTCTATTTACAGGTGGGTAAGTTAGATGAGTGTGTGCGTAACCGCGCAACAGGTGAAGCCTCGCTAATCGAAGTGGAGTTCTGCATTGTGCAGTCGCCCGCAGTGGCCCCCAAAGAGGACGACGAACTGGGAAAGTTATTGGACTTCGAGTTTATTTTGTCAAACACAATTGGTTCTGAAGATATGAACAGCAGTAACCAAAACAACGGCAGCATTTCCCCGCCACAGTGCGCATACGCACTGCCAGACTCTCCAGACAGCTGCAGCACCGCCTCTGTCCAAGACTGCAATGACCAATCCGCGTCTTCCCTGGACGTGCACAGTTATCAGTGCTTTCCTGACCCTCCTGTGCCTAGCCTTATGGCCGAGTTACTTGCACCTATGAATTACCCAGTGTCAGGAGAGCATAGTAAAACAATGGAATACACTGACTTGCTTTCTTCCTCCACGTTCCCACTTGGATACAAAGTGAAAGTAGAGCATGTTGGACAGTCTTGCATGATGGCTTCTGAGGAGGACTATTTGAGACACAGCCAATTGGGTCTAACATCTTTCCACCAAACTCCTGTTCAAGTGCCTTTCCACCCAATGCAAGGCCGCACTGACTGCCATCTACAGCAGGTGACTCATCTCCAGCAACATTATCAAAGCCAGTTTGTGAGTCCACACTACTCCCCACAGTTCCACCACCAGCCCATACCTCACTATCATGGACAGTACGTGCACAGGGAGCATCACACTGGTTCCCTGCTTACACCACCATCGTCTCCATCTTTGATGGAGTTATACACACAGGAAGATGGAACAGGTGTAATCAAGCCAAAGAGGGGACGCAGGTCATGGGCCAGAAAACGTGCTGCAACTCACAACTGTGAGTTTCCAGGATGTGGGAAGACCTACACTAAAAGCTCACACCTCAAAGCTCACATGAGAACTCATACAGGTACAAATCCTTTGCAAATATTTAACTTAAAAGCCACGTGTTGTGTATTTGGCCTGTTTAATGAGTTAAATCATTTGCATTTTTCAGGTGAGAAGCCATACCACTGTAACTGGGAAGGATGCGGATGGAAGTTTGCCAGATCTGACGAGCTAACACGACACTTCAGGAAACACACTGGACATCGCCCGTTTCAATGCCACTTGTGTGAGCGGGCTTTTTCCCGATCGGACCACCTGGCTCTACACATGAAGCGGCACATGTAGAGTCTGTGCCTCCAATGCTGAGTCTAGCACTATGGACGGTTTTGTGTTTTGTTCAGACTGTGGCGGACTATTATAGCTGTTTTTATTGAAGCACTCCCGTCTGTTACAATGTAACACATTTCAAGTGCCTACAGTATCAGTCTGTTGAAGAATTGTTAACACAAGCCGTTTGAAAAATAGCCTTTATTTAACACTCACTGGGTTACATAAATTATTAACTGTGCCTTTTTGAGATGAACTAGGTCATTGTGGGCAGGACCCGAAATGTATGCCTGTAAATTCTGTATATTTTTTAATTATATTTTCTACAGTTTTAGTGTTTTTTTCTTTTTTTTAGAGGCACCAAGTCAAACCAGACAGACGTTTTTGAAAATGTCTTGGTATTGGTAAATTATATATTTTTTTTACTTGGAGAGATGTACAGTTTTAACACACATCTGCATATTTTGTGTACAATACACAGAGTGCCTTTGGTTTTAAAATGAAGACTACTACAATGACATGCCAAATTACTTGAATTCATGAGTCAATACTGTATGCTTTATGACTAATAAAAGTACTTTTTTTCCTAAAATGTATTTCTACATCCATCCATTTTCATTTAGTTCCGTGGGTGGCAATCAGCTGCCACACAATTCTCAAAGCACAAGACATTTCTTATGGTTTTAAAAAAAAGTAAACCTATTGCTTGGGGTTCAAGAGGTGTTAAGTTTTATTTTGGCTTTAATAATGTTCTTTGCTATATGAATTTTCACGGCACAATGCACAACATGATACAAGTAGGTTACTGAGATTTACTTATCTTAAAACAAGATTTGCCCATAGGAAAAGCAAACATTTCTCTGTTAAGAAACAAGAATAATGGATATTTTGTTTGAAATATTTTCGTTTTAAGAGAGTTAGAACCTAAACCTTGAAATATTTGTCAATTTTTTCTCTCTTCACATACAAGCTTAATTAAAATACATAATATCCTTATTCCTACAATATTTCCTCTAATGCCCCTGGTTATGAAAGCTGGTCCATTTCCCATATAATTCATTTTTTATTGTATTCATTTTGAGGAGTAGCTCCACACATAATCATAAAATGCAAAAAATAAAAACGCAAGCCAAAGTAATTTCGTTTTCGAAGAATATAATATATACATATGCTCGAGGTTTACTTGTCATAGTACATGTTGTCCACTAGATGTCCCCATTACATCATTTATTGGGAATACACGATTTTTTTTTTAATGGACTTTTTGTATGTGTTTCCACAGTGTTTTTTAAAATACTGCCAATGGAAAGCACTTTGGGTTTCATACTGTATGAACTGTGTGATATAAATTAAGTTAATTGATTATCATAATAATATCATGATATATTATACTAGTATTATTATATTATTTACGCACACGCGCTCTCTCTCTCACACACAAACACACACGTATGTGATATACAATATAATATACATATATACCCACACACAGACAGACACCGACACACACACACACACGCACACACACACACACACACAAGCACACGTATATGGTCAGATCCAGTAGTCACAATGTATAGCAAGCCTCATTGCGCCTGCTACCACGACTGCTGCTCCCGTGTCTTTCCTCTGTGTGCCCCGTAACCCCTCGTCTCACCTCACATACAAGGTAAAACCCCCTATGCATGCTGAAGAGAACAGCTCTGGGTCATCCATCCTGTGGCATCATCTGCTTTTCGTCCCATAAGCCCCACGGTTTGCACCATTGTGCCTTCCATCTCGTGCAGCAGCAGCAGCAGCAGCAGCAGCAGCAGCAGCAGCAGCAGCAGCAGCAGCAGCAGCAGCATATAACCACCACACCTGTCTAGACGCCGGTGTGGACTCCCTCTTACGGGCTTCATCCTCGTCCTGCTGCTTCTATATTTCTATGTTTCAACTATCAACTGTTTTCATTTTCTGTTGCTGCCAGTTTAGACAATAGGAGCTTCTTTTCACGTGTTAGAATATTTCCCTAATGCACACACGCACACGCACACTCACACACACAAACAGATTGTGATTTGATTTGACATGAGGGTAAACTGTCGCAACAAACAACAGTGAGGGTTTGTAAAAAGGTCTTAAAGATCTTTGCATACATCTCGTGTGACACTCCCCTGTCATTCAGAAGGAGCTACAGAATGTCACAGTGAGTTTACAAAACTCCCTGAACTGGTGGATCCAGATTCAAGTTTGACGATGAAGTTGGAATTCGCCTTCAGCATCAAACCTGTGAAAAGAATCTCACACGATGCGGCTCCAAACCACACACTCCATGTTACTAACTATATATTACATAATGTTATATTATATTTTCATCTGTTTTAGCTGTGGGTGGAGCAGGACGGGTGGAGTAGCCGCTTGGGTCCTCTCTGCTCTGTTCTGGACCAGTGTAAAACCATGAATCCTCTCTGCTCTGTTCTGGACCAGTGTAAAAATCCTCTCTGCTCTGTTCTGGACCAGTGTAAAACCATGAATCCTCTCTGCTCTGTTCTGGACCAGTGTAAAACCATGAACACTGAACTGCAGCAACATCTCTGGCAGAAAAAAAGCAAGAAAAAAACAATTGTAAAACGCAAAACAACAGTTTCAGACACACTTATAAGACTCGCTGCTGTTTTCCAGTGCATTCAAAAGTAAACAGATATCAGTATCAGAATGATGTCACTGTGATGTCACCGTGATTTCACTGTGATGTTACAACAATGTCAGAATGATGTTGCGGTGATGTCATGTCATGGTAGTAAGGGTGAGAGAGACCAGAGACAGACCAGAGAGAGACCAGAAACAGACCAGAGACAGACCAGAGAGAGACCGGAGAGAAAACAGAGAGAGAAACGAAAGTCGCCAGAGAGATTTTTTCAGACAAAGTTAAAGTGGAATTTTCTTCATGGAGTTTTGGTCTAAATACTTTTCAAAAACATCATTCTGTAGCTTCGTCTCAAATGTCACATGAGCTGTTTGCAAATATCTTAAAGACCTTTTTCCAACCCTCCCAAACGTTATTGTCCAAAAGCAGAAAAGCATTTGCATCTGGTGGAGCAGTAAATGAAACATTACAAATAACACTACAATTCAGTTGGTGGATCCATTTTGAAGTTCCTTTGTCAGCTTGAAGCTTGGAACTGAAATCTCCCTCTATGGGGCCTATCACTAGGCTTAAAGGCACTTTAACCATCGACCAGCGCCTCAACCATGTGCTAAAGACCTGTCATTAAAAAACTAGGAAGAAAATAAAAACAATTGATGCGTCTTGTTAGTTTTCCTACATCTTAGATATTAAAGCTCCACTCCGAAAGGCCCCTTCTGGCTGACAGTTTATTTTTATTTTTATTTATTTAATTAATTTTTTTACAAACACTCACTACACAAGTATCTTTTTAAATTAGCTCGAGTCAATATTTTGGCTATTTTTAAACGCATACAAACACACCCACAATAACCCGCGTACACACAGACACGCACGCATGAATACACGCGCACATACGCACACGCACACAAAAGCGACGCATTGTTCCTCCTGTCATGATAGTGATGTGAGATTTAGATTTTTTTAGTTACATATTTACGTTTTGTGAATGGAGTAGACGTTGGCTGAATGTGAATGATGTGCCTTTAGTTTGGAGAAGCGACAGTGGACAGCCTCAGGTTCTGTCAACACTAAAGTCAGTCAAGAATACGCAGTGTCAACACAGGGCTGAACCCGCCTTCAGGGGGTTAGGAGGGGCGAGGCGGAAGGTCGGAAAAGGAACGGAGACTGAAGTGATGCGACCTTAAATAACCCGACAATAAATTATACTAATCGATGGACCTCAACTTTGCGGTAAGTGTTGTGTTCTTGATGTACTGCAAAGTCTGTAGACTGCTAAGACTTATTCCTGAAGTTGCGATAGTTAGTTTATTTTTGCTTTCACTTTAGCGTCACCACGTTTTTAAACGGATAAAATGGTCAAATGTATCTGTATCCTTGCATGTACAGAATCATTGACTGTGTCTTTAGTCGTGAGGGATGCGCTATTTGAGCGTGCGGCTGGTGAAACACGTGGCAGCAGCTGCAGCAGCCGTAGCTCTGCGTGTTGTGCTCTCCCTCCAGAGGGCGAGCAACTTCTCTGTCATTCAAAATAATTATTCTCAATATATTTTTATTTATTTATCAGAAACGACATACATTTTAATCTCTGCATATAGTGTCGTTGAAGAAAGGCGCTGACAAATAAAATGAATTATGCATATGTCATTTGATTTTGTACTTTCCTTTACATTGTAAGTAAGTAATCTTTATTGTAACATATATTGGTTGTAATATTGGTTTACTAGTGGTTATTCCGTTTATGGGTCTATCACACAGCTTTTTACAACCTACTTACCCCGTATTTGTGGATGGATTTTGCCGTTTCAGCCACATTGGCCTAATGTTTGATAAATAATCGTCTACGGGCAAAACATCTGGAAAAACCCTATTCGTGTTTTCAGAAAGTAGGCTACGTAAACGTAAGCTCTGAATGAATGTACTAGTGGTCTTACAGTTACACCACCCCCATCACCAAATTATAAACAAGAGCCTCTTTCACTCCAAAAGTTGCAGTAGTTTGAAAAGTCATGCTTTCACTCTGTTTTTGTAGATCTTTTGAAGACTTTTAAGAACATGCGTGTTTGTCCAAAATGTCCAGAGATATTGTGTTCCATTGTTCCCGGAATAAGGGGTTTGATGTACATTTAAAACATGTGACTAGCACCATTTGCTCATTAAAGAAACATGTGAAATAAAGACAATGATAATAAAAATCAATATAGCCGCTTCATGATGGACCACATCATGAAACATATAGAAAATGGGGCACATTCAAGCAAAGGCGTCACTATTTTATCCTTTCTTTTGTCTACTAGCAATGGTTTCCGTATTTAATGAAATCCAATTGGTGTGATTTTTGGATTTACTAGGAGTTGTTTTGGTAAGCTAGATTGACGTGCTCAATTAT